ACCATATGCATTTTTTGGGTGTGAGGATTTGAAGAGCCTTCTTCATCGCCTGCTCCACCACGGAGGCAGCTCGATCCTGAGCTACACAGAAAAGCAGCTCAAGGAGTTCTGTTGCTTCTTGAGAGGAGTGCTGAGGAACGTGGACTGACAAACTCTGCTCAAAGCTGGATAATTACTGGGTAGCATCTCCGAAAGAAGCCACGGAGAGAACCCCTAAAGCACGAAAACCGAAACTGAAGAGGCCCCGACAAGCCCGACATCTCCCGAGCTATACCTGCACGTGCAGCCCGCTCCTACGCCCAAACCCCGCAACTCAACCTCAAGCGATGTGTATTTCACAATGCCTCCTTGATTTTACCTTGCTTGACTTTACCTTGCGTGGTCTTAGGCTTTGGGGGCTTTTTACCTAGGGGTTCCAGGTTCTAAGGCCTACTCCGTCCCGGTTTGAGCCAAGAGACGACCTGTAGCTGGGCATACGCCACCTGCTCTAAAGGCGCTTGCACCGACTGATCTCGGGTGTTGAATAAAGGAGCACTTAGGGCTTACGGTTTCGTGCAACTGCCGTGGGCCATAGCACGGATTTACGTATTTGGATGCGGGTTTGGATCTGCATTTTGGGAGTTCTTATGAGTTCTTGGCCAGTCCCGTAATCGCGACGAATTGGGACCTGGCTTTTTGTTTGGTTTCGATGGCTCTACTCCCACGAAAGCTTGCAGCGAATTGAAGGGTTTTCAGGGTGTTGGATCGCACGGGGGTGTGGGTGTTCCATGCTTCTGGTGCTGCCGGAATGGCTGATCTAATATCCGGAGCCAGCTGTGCAAAGTCTATCTTCGGCAACGATGCACGCTCCGCTTCAAACCCGTTGAGCTCCCGTCACTATGGCGCCTGCTTGTCTTGCTCCTCCACTTGAGAGTCTGCCTCCTCACACCTTGATTCTCGCAGCATGATTTTCTGCAGGGCCTAATGATCCTAATGCTGCGCTATTTTCAGACCACTTCGGGTCGGGCTGACTCTCGGAAGAGGTCTCTGCACTCACCAAGCCCTGTGCTGCTTCTCCAGAGCATCTCGCTGCGACTTGATGCTTTCCTGGCAATGCCGATTGCGCACACAATGGCAGAAAGAGCAGGCTCAGGTGTTAAGAAAAACCACAAGAAAGCGACATTACCAAAACCGATCATCAAACAAACGCTCAGGAGACCAAGCCGAGAAGTGGCAGCAAAAAGAATGACCCTAGTCTCAGCGATTAGCTATAGCAACAACAGTGTAAGAGCCACCAGTTTTCGTTTTCAAGAGATGGCCCCTAGGTGAATCAACTCGACGGCCGAGGTCGTGTCGGTTAAAGAAAACTGAGACACCGCCGCTGTGCTTGGAGCAATAATGTCCGTCACACGGCTCCAAAGCCTCAGAACCTTTTCGCGCAGGGCCATTCCAAACCTCGCTGCTTTGGGCCCCTGCAGGGACCGAGAGGAGCGATACCAGTAGCAGCGGAAGCGAGAAAGAGGTAAATGAGAATTCTGGTACAAGTAAGTCTGTTGTTCTTTTCCCAGACCGTAACAAGTAATGGCTCGCGGCTTTAATCCGGCAAGAAGGGCCGTGGCAGCATCTGCCTTCTTTCTCTTCTCCTGCACTCAAGGGCCCCCGACCGAAAAAGCAGGCTGTGACAGACAGGAAGTCCGACCGGCTCGCGCCTCATCCTTGAGTGCTCGCCACTCCTCGATGCAGTGTCGGTGGAAGACACAGTTGCACGCCACGAAGATGGCCGAGCCTGGCTCACCAGGGCTTTTACAAACCACAAACCACAAACACCAAACGAGGCGCCTGGATCGCACTCGTCCATGCAAATGGAGCACTCGCTGACCTCGGCTTCGAGGCTTCGGAGCTCCTGGTCTTCCCCGTGACTATGGGCTGCTGCTACCAGCTGCCACTCACCGCAGAGTCTGTCGAAGCTTTAGGCGGCCTCAAGAAGCTCATGAGCTGCTAAGGAACTGTTTTTCCCAGGGCATCCTTCACCTGCGGACCAGGCACGCTGCCAACATCGGCTCCAGATCAAAAGCAACCTAGATTCACCAGTCCTTCACGGTAGGCCTCATGCCTGCTTCCATGCTTTGGTATATGTTGAATGCACGCCGTCTATGCACCCTGACCGCCGGCCAATGCACTTTACCCACAGACCACACGTTCGCAGATAAACGCATGCACCGAAGCACCACTGTCGCCATCACTATTTAACACGATCATCATCGCAGAGGGTGTAAGGTTTCGGGTTGCACCATCACATAAAACAGTATCCCCATGCTCATCGGTGCATCTTCGTCATCGTCGTCCAGCCTCGGAGAGGATGGGCCCTAGGCAGCCCTGCTCCTGACAGTTCTGAGGATATACATACACCACGGTCTGCAGCCCATGGCATGTGTGGCAGCTCTTCACAATGATGACTGAAACTCTCCGGACTCCGTAAACGCCCGACGCCCTCATTCTCTTTGGCTTCAAGACACAACAGCCTGCATGCACCTGAACCTTGATCCCCCGAAAGAGGGTCCTGCAGCCCGTCGTGGTCAATGCCCTTCTTGGCCTCGGCAGAAGGCCATGACCAAGGCACTATCAACTTGCGCGCTTTTTCTTGGGGGAGGTGGCCGACGGTAGGTCTTCAAGGGCTTCCCAGTCTTCCATGCTTGTTGCTGCCGTGCTGTTGCTTTGTATGTACTTACATGAAAATGCAGCGGTCCCCGCAGCTGTTCCGCGCACGGCTTCACAACGGAGTGGAGGTTCTCGGCGCCGGGCAGCATCCATCATCGCCCCGGTCGCCGCCTGCACAGTCCAGCCATGGGCCACTTGTCCAATTCCAGCAAAGCTGCAGCTTCGACCGCCGCCACTGCCAAAAAAAACACAATCTGAAGAACCCACCAAGCAAAAAGACGTGCGCATTGTGAGGAGCATATTCATGACGAGGCTGCTCCCATCAAGCGAAACCGAGGTTGCGGCGTCGCCGATCCCCCGCGACTTGTCGACCTTGCGCAGTTTCAGCCTATTCCCTGTTAGAGCCAGATTACGGATGTCTCTGCGGAGACTAGCAACACTGATGGCAGGGAAATTCTGCCGTGTTTGCGTCCCCAGGGCACCTGTTCCAAGCTATCGCTTCTTCAGACCCGAAACACGAAGACAGCATGTGTTGAGCCCGCTGTCGAACGTGAAGCCTAAGCGCAAAACCAGTCACTAGACTGTTTGACCATCTCTTCCCGCGCACGCCTCGATCTTGGGCGTGGCTGATAGTGGGTATCCCTTAGGAACGGTCACGAGCAGCGTCACCCAGACCTTGAATGAGCAGTGCTTCTTGAAAACTGGAGTCAACGATGCTTGTGCGTTCGGTGTTCGTCCGATCCTTCACCACATGCTAATAAGGGATGAAAGGCCTTCTCATAACCTCGAAGGCTTTGCACACCGAAATCCCGCACCGCACCGATGCCACTAGCGTTTGGCCATGGGTCGAGCTGAAAGCCTTCCTCGCTCATCGGCTCGAGGTCGACTTCTAAGCAACAGATTGGCTCCTGGAAGTGTGCGGGTTCTCAGTCAGCGACTCAGACTCTCATTCTAGGCTTCGGGGTTTGGGGTCCAGGACCCTGAAGTTCATGGAGTACCATGTCGAATCTACGAGTCTCATGCAGAGGACGGGGTTGGCAAAGCACTCACACCCCACCAACTTCAACATGGCCTCTTCTCTTCTGCAATCTCCCTGTTCAAACTGTATCTAAGTAGGTTCCTTGAAGGTGCATTCAAGCGGTGCACCATTGGGCACGAGGTGTCGCTGACCCGACTGCCAATGCTCCTCGCCGTCATCCTGGATCCTCTTCTCCTTCAAAAGCCTGTCAGGCTAACTGTCGGAGACTTCGGGATCTGCTCCAGGCTGCGCACGCAACTCACGACCGAATAATCGGGGAATCTGTGATCTCCGTTGTCTGGATTGCTCCGTGCGCCTCACCGTCTCGTCTCCATAGATGGCCTCGGGACGGTGGAGTTGAGAGCTCACTGAGCTCATGGTTGAGGCATGGTGGGGCTGGCATGGCCGGCATCACGAGCATCAGCTGACCAACACCCAACACACCGCAAAGGACTGCCACCATCAATCGTAGCATCATCTCCATCAGGCAGGTGTAGGGTCAGCATGGGACAGCCAGCATCAGCCAGAGCCAACCGGATAAAGAGCAGGCATAATCAGCATCAGCCCACAAATATCTAGCACTCTGCTTCCCAAGGTACTCCAGGATAACTTCAGAGACTAATCTCAAACTCTTAACTCTTCTCAAAACGGTGCTTCCAGGCCACCCTCAGGATCTCCAGCTCCTCCTGGAGAGCCTCTGGCAGCTCGCACGGCTGGGGCGCCATGGCGGTGGGATCACGCCCATGAATCCAAAACTCTTGATACTCTTGCTATCACCAACAACAACGGTAAGAATGATAATGATAACCATGATAAATCAAACCAGAACTACTACAACAAGGACGACCTGCTGATCATCATGACGCAGTGAGTTGCATCATCAGCGTTTCTTGTCGTCGCGTTGTCTCGGAAAATGTTCATCACGATGCCTAATTCCTGATAGTGAATAACGCTGTCACTTTGCGGAGGTTGCCATCGTGGTCGGTTCCCTGTGTCCTTCGGTGTTGGTACTGGGGCTGTGGGTGGATGGCAGTGAGGTCAGCGGGGTCAACAGGCCTACGCCGGGTGGAGGGAGCACGTCACTGGCAACACCACCCTGTCGCAATCGCGATAGCCATGGACTTTGGGAAAGATACTTGATGTTCGCAGGTGAGACACCCGAGCATGTGACGGCTGCGACTGGATGAACTCCAGAAACACTCCCTTGTCCCAGGACATGCAAACTTCCAACTCAGACTACTCAGACTTCCTTCCTGCCTCTGAGCTCCACGAGACTTTCAGGACCCCTCTCCTGCTCTGTGTATCTTCCCGACTCGATCTGACTCGAGTACCTCGGCTTCCCTTGTCACAGCAACATGCTCTGCAAGCCACTTTGGGCCATGCTCCGAAGCATGTGGGGCAGCCAAGGCAGCTCAACGTGTTCCGCCCAGCGGCTTGCGGACCATTTCGAGGCCGTGAGGTCGAAGAGCTCTAAGCGCTTCCTCCGGCCGCCCAACCACGGGACCACGTGCGCCACAAACTGGAGGGCCGTCCCTGGCGCCAGCCTTGGCTCGTCGGAAGACGCCAAGGTCTCACAAACCAACTCCACAAAGCGCTCCGTCACGGGGAGGCTCTCGTCCCATTTCGTATTGAGCAAAGGTCCACGGCAGTTCAGCCATGTAATCGGTACAAACATATACGTGCGATCGAACTCGTCAAAGTCTGTGAGCCCTGACGGTGCCTGGAAGCCCCGTCTCAGGGAGCCCTCCACGTTCAGCCCATCCGCGTAGAGCAGCGCCGTGAACATGTCTTCATCCTGCGTCAGGCGTTCGTAGCCTCTGGCCCGGTCTCGCAGGAGCTGCCCCAGCGGGCCCTCTTCAGCCACCACCGCTGCCTTCTTCACAAGGAGAGCCCGGTAGGTCTCGTTGCCCGCGAAGTGGAAGGTTGCCATGCGGTAGCCCCCGAAGTAGCGGCCGAGGGTCTCGGGGTCCAAAGTACCGATGAAGGGGATCCCCACACCAAAAATGAAGAGGTAGAGCCCCGAGCTCCCGGGATCCTTCCACAGCGACCGGCCGGAGAAGCCCTGCTCCAGGCAGAGCTTCGCGGAGCAGACCAACATGTACCTCGGCAGCTCGCAGCAAGGAAAGCAGCGGAGCACTCACAGAGAGGGAACCCATGCTCTAATCTGGGGCGGCGGACATGGTCATCACATTCCACCGGAAGGGGCCCATGCCGAAGAAGAAGATGAAGACGTGCATCGCCAAGGCCAGGAGGATGAACCACTCCGACGATCCGGGGAGCGCCCCCAGGATCATCCCTGCAGCCGCTGGAATCGGACTTTCTTCGAAGCAATATCGGAAGGATCGGAACGACGCGAGAAGTTCGCGACCGAACGAGTCCAGCCGCCCAAAGCCCTGAACCGTTCCCCCACCATGAACACTGAGCACAACTTCCTGAACACCCTCCGATCTTGCCGATCTCTCCCTGTCCCAGGGGCCGAGCCCGGCCAACATCTCGATCCAAGTCCCGGCCGCCTGCGGCGTCGGAGGCACAGGCGGCTTCAGGAAGAGCCGAGCTTCGAGGAGGCGGGGACTGCTTGGGATGTCTCGAACGCTAGCTTCACCCTGAAGGCACAGGGATAACCATCCATGTAAGGGCCAAACTTTCCACACCATGCCTTGGGTACCCCTGCCCTTTACATGCCTTCATGGTCTGATCTGACAACCACTCTGTCCGCTGCAGTGAGACCACGTCGATCCGAAAATGCCAAAACAAACGAGTGCATCGCGGGTGGTTGGTTGGAAAACCTGCTTCTATTAGGACGGCTTTTTTATTCACAGAGCTCGTGGCATTTAGTGATGGTGTCATATTTGTCAGCATCTTCTTCTTATCGACATCGTCATCGTCAGCATCTTTTTGTGTTTCTTGGCTTTGTCTCATCACTTCACTGTTCATCACTGTGAGGCATGGCATGCAGGCAAGCCGCCCCGAATGCACAAACTGCAGGGCGTGGAAGGTACTCCTGTGTCGACGATCTGCAGCTTCCAGGTCATGGAGCCTACTACCAACCTACAGTAGCCTAGAGCTGGGAGGCTCTGAAGGGATGAACGTCGGCTCCTCTGTGAGGTACAGGTGGCGGAAATACCAGGAGATGGCTGAGAAGTTGAGGAACTGGTATTGGAACATGAAGCCATGGAAGAAGCCACGGAGCTTGTACAGGCCGGACCAGAAGTACCTTGACAAACCAGATTGCGACATTTTCCGAAACACTCCAACAAGGTCTGCGCAATTCGCAAGTGCAGAGTATGGAGGGCTCTCTGAATGCTTTTAGAGACACAGACAAGCCAACAGGGTGTAGACATTCAATGCCGGCTCCTGGGGCAGCGAATGGGAAACAAGAAAAAGCGGCGATGAAATTGCGGAGCACAAGCTGGTCGACAGGACAATGGATTGTGATTTTGCAGACCCAACAACCCGGCCCCCTTGACGCTTGAAACACGGAGTGGAACAAGAGATGTCTAGGACCCCAAGCTTTACAGGTTGTAGACGGGTCGATTGTCAAAAACGAAGCCTTCTCAAACCACAGCAGAACGTCGCGGCACCCCTCCTCTCCTGGAGCAGCGTGGCGGCCAGGAACTTGAGGATGTCGGAGGGGCGAGTAGAATGGAAGAGGCCCCGATCCTAGTGCGTGTTTGGGGCGGGATTTCGAAGGGATGACAAAGATGGGGGGGGTCCGGCAAGGTCGCACTCGCCTGGAATGCCGAACCTGCTTGCATTCCCAAGTCCCGCTTACATGGGCAGAAGAGAGGGGATAAGCCGGGCATCAAAGATGCAGGCGAGCAGGAAGAGAGCCAGGAAGACGGAAACATCCTCCGTCGGTGCGGTCGTCTTCTGAAAAAGGCTGTCTTGCATAGAGCCGCCACAAGAGAAAAGGGTATGGCTTAAGGAGCGAGGCTGCGAGGCAGGGTTGCCGATACCCTGGTTCTCCGGCTTCTTCGGTAAATGAACATTTGCCCAAAAAAAAAGACCTCCGCAACTGAATTTGACACCTGGCATGCATCTCTGGGCTCGTGGGTTCCTTCGTGACCAGCAAGCTGCGGAGAAAGCCACGGAAAAACTGTGTCTATTGCGACCCGACACAAGAAGATCACTTCAACGAATATGAATATGAACCTACATTTCAGTTATGCCGGAACTTCCGAAAACGTGAAATGTCTAAGCCACCTGAGTCCTGGTCGCTGACGCGATACAGGATCAGCTGGTAGATGGCGAGGATCACGAAGGAGGCGTAAGCGGTCGCTCCAAAAACCTGATCTGCTTAGGCTGCACATGAAGTAGGAAGAATAAGAAGAAGACTGGTCGCAACAGGAACGGACCGACAGGGCACTGTCCTGCAAATGCTCTCTTTGCTAGCCTTTTACATCCTTGCGTTGTGTCGCTCACACGAGACCTTCATAAGGTCGTTCCAGGGGCGCTCTGCTGCTTTGGCAAGAACGAAGGCGCCCAGGGAGTCACCACGGCACCTCGCCATGCGCATGGTGCAAAGAGGCATATTCCGCTGGCTCAGTCAGGAGGACTCTCTTCAAAAGCCTTCCTGACGAGGAACCCGAAACCCTAAAGCCTAACGGCCGCAAACCCTGGACCCCTGAGACCCGTGAAGCGGGTGCCTGGGCGGAGGAGTCGAAGCGCGAAGGGCTCCTGCGCGGAGAAGGACATGAGCAGAGCCTGGCATTCGGCGAAGAAGAAGGGTTTCGGGTGTATTTTGGGAATGCATCTCCAAAAATAGAAGATTCACAAGGTGCTTGGGACCATGCCTCGTGCATTTGAAGACGGTATAAGCTCGGTTGAAGTCTGTCTCAGGGGCTTGCAAGATTTTCAAAAACCAATGGATCCCAAGAGCAACCGGCTTCAACCCAGCATCTAACTCGAACTGCCTTCAAGCCTGCAGCAATGCTGCGGGTGCGGTTCCTTTTCAACACACAGCAGCAGTTAAGTCTTCTGTGCACACTAACGGCATTCGTGAGCACCCGATGACCAAGAGCCGCAGACGCAACACCGTCTATGGCTTTCACACTGCAGTCGTGAAGAAAGCTACTTCACCTTTGTTTGAAATCGAAGCTCAACTAGGATACCAGGTGACTGGAACATGGCCTGCGACCCTGCAACTAGCACTCCAAAAAACACAGACCCACCTCTGAAAAGACGGGAACCGAAAGCGCAAAAAGCTCTTCCAAACCCTCGGAGCAGAGCTCGCCTCGTGCCTCGTCCAACCCAAGGGCCGCCAGCAGATGGTGCAGCATCAACACCTGCGGCTCGGAAGTTCCGAGGCTAAGCTTCAACAAAAGCAAACAGAGAACGCTGAACCCGGAAACCCCCAATATACCCCAATGAGCCCTAAACCCTTAACGGCAATGAACCCTGAGGCATCCTAAGACCCAAAAAGGGGGGACGAGATCTCCGCTCTTCGTCCCAAGAGGCCCAGCGGAGCTGGGGCAGGTCGAAGCGGCGGTAGACGGTGCAGCCCAGAACAAAGCTCCACACCAGAGCCTCAAGGAGCCGTTTAGGGTTTAGGGTTTAGGGTTCAAGTGGTTTAAGGGTTAAGGGTTGAGGATTTAGGGGCTAGGGCAAGTACAAATGAATAAAGGAGGTAAACTTAGCTCCAACGGTCCGGTGCACGACGACATTTCGGACACAAGAGCTTCCCGTTACAGCGCAAGCTGGTCTAGCCTATCATCAATGGGTTTTTCTCCTTCGGGCGGGTAAAAGCCTTTCAGATGCAGGCACCATGGCCAATTCTTATGTGTGACCTGCAACGGCGGAAGCTGTGGCGAAAAAAAGCTTAGCCAATGGTTGTCTAGGGTGTTACGGTCGACACATCTCTGACAAGCCACCCCGCGTCTCTAGACGGACTGCAATCACCAGCCCAAAACAATCGAGAATGCAACACAGGGCAGCTACACAGTCAAGTCCGTGCTCCTATGCATCTGTGGATTCTTCTGAAGTTCAAGGCGCTGCCAGCAAGCGACCCTGCGTCATCCTCAGGTTCTCGGCGCCCATCTTCTCCACGATGTACTCCAAAGGCGAGGCCCAGTCCTTCTTCGCCTTGCGGACGTCTCCTGGCAAGCGTCAGCTCTGCCGGTCAGTGACAACCGTTCAGACGGCTCAGTGACGGCAACAAGACTGCATGACAGCCTCTTGGAGACATTGTCTCCAGAAGCCCAGGGACGACCATGGCATCGTCACATTGACGTTCAGCGAAACATGTGCTCGGTGATGCGACGGCACTTTACATGCCACAGAAGCATTCAAAAGAAGCTATTCATTGCGGTACCTTCTAAACTATGTCAGGATTGACACTTGAGGGCTACGTGATTGTCGTCTCATGTTCACTACAAGCCAAACAGCATGACAGCATGCTCGACGACGTGTTCTACAAGTTGAATCCGCCAAAGGTGCTGGAGATTGCTGGAGCTCCCCATTACGCTGGCCCGTTTGAGTGGCTAATCGTTGCGATTGGATAGCAATCCAGCAGTTGATCAGAGAAGCTGTCACAATCATCGGTGAGATGAATGCGCATCGCGAGGAGGCGGTTTTGTAATCACTTCTTGAAGTCAAAATTACACTATGTGGCGCAAACTCGTCATCACAAGATCTCCTAACTCCGTCTTCTCACCTTCCCCAAAACTTGACACGCTGCCGGGCCTGAGTCTAATTGCACAGCCGGCTTCTACAAATCAAGCTCTTACGGTCCTACGGCTTATAATAACGGTAAGGTGGGACAAGTAGAAGTCCACACATCCGTCGTGCCTGGACGCTGAGACGTTGCCGAGTCCCAGCCGGAGAGCTATACGGTTCGAATTCGAAGCCGCATCCCCGGAAGACGCGAAATACCATGGATCCCTCCAAAACTCCTTGAGCCAGCCTGTGGTTCATGCGGCTGCGACTACTGCGGTTAACCTTCAATCCGAGGTGTCTTGAAAACTCAGAAGTCACAGTCCTGTATATGTAGGCCACCACCACTGCGAGCCAACGCTATCCAAGCTCTAACATGCTGGTTTGCACGAAATGATCTGGCAGTTTAAGTGTGTGTCTTACCAGTAGCATGCAGGCTCCAGGAAAGCAGCTTTGGAAGTCGGTTGACACGTCTCCGTCACATCAAGGAACGTCTTGATGCGGCAGGTGCTCGTGTCGTGCATCACAATGAATTCAGCATCCAAGCCATGTCACTCCTCTCGTAGCGGTGCAACATGCCACGAAGGCGAACCTTGGATGATGGCGGTTCCGCTCTTCGACCTCAAACGGCTCTTGCACTCTTCGACCTTGCTCGCTGCAAACGAGGCTCAAGCTGCTTCATGACTCCAGCAGCATCCCGGCCCATCGATGTCGCTAAAGCCCGAAGGCTCTCCTGCTGCGCGACATCTTTAAAGCTGGTGTCACCCATGAAGACCTGGAGACTCACCAGAACAGGAGGGTCGCAGAGCACCCGGGGAACACCCGCAACGTTCGGCAGCAAACCCGCGGGCTGGGAGCTGAAGCCTTTCCTCCAGAGCGGCATGTTCACGAAACAGGCTCGCGGCCGGGTTGCCTGAGCCACTTGGGCCGTCCAAAAGGCTACCAGAGCTTGCTCGCCCTCACGCTCCGACAAGAGGAGAAGCCCGCCCGACTCGAACGCCACCACAGCATCGACAGGGCGCAAGTACTCGTCCAGGCCTGCCGCTTCGTTGATGGCTTGACGGAAGTTTCTGGTACAGTACACCTTGATGACCTTGGGCCAAATGCTCTTGTACCGATTGAGGCTGCGGGTCGCGGCAAAAACGTCCGGGATGCTGAAGGTCTCAATCTTGAGCGAGACAACGCTGTCGGCATGCACCACCTGGGAGACATCCCACTCCTCCTCGTGATATGGTGTCATTGTTGGCACCTGCCTCTCAACTTCCTTTTCCACTTCTTTTTCAACCTCGAGTTCTCTCTCGTACCTTAGCTGCCAAGCAGAATCAGACGCTCCGCTGCTATCCAACCGATCCGAGATGCTCCTCGTCTAGCACACCTGCGGCCACCTGAACTCCGTTGCCGTACTGGTCCGCCCGATGCTGGATCTTCTGCATGAGCTCCCGGTCTGAATCTCGTAGGCTCGAAGCAGCTCTCCTCAATCACCAGCATGCAAGCGACTGTCACTAGTGCCACCTACGCCCCCACTGGCCCCTTTCTCGAAGGCGGCGATCGAAGTTCAGCCGAGCATCTGCTCGGTCCGCTCAGCCTCGCCTCTCACAAGCACGGCAACCTCCTTGGGCACCTCGGCTGTTGCAACTTGCCTGCCCTCTGAGACTCTGAGCAGTCTGGGCTGTTCAAAACCGCTTGAAGAGGTGGCACCACGGCTTCCTTGTAGAAGGCGCTGAGCTCCACGGTCTCGTCCAGCACGGCCAGCTCTGGTGCCGCTCGTGTGGAGCTGAAGAGCAATCCCTGTTTTGCCTGGAAGGACATGAGAAGCTGCTCTGCAGATCCCTGCACAGCTCACCCTGCGTTGTGAAATACCTTAATAGCTCTCGGTTTCGACCCCGAAGGCATTAAGCCCCGTCTGCAATGCCGTCGAGGTGCCCACTCCGAGAGAGCTTCCTCCGCCGCGGCGACCTGCCCGCTGGGTCAGCTTTTTTGCATGCGCCCGTGCTTTCGAAAACCTAGCTTCCGGGGTGTGATTTTCTTTGCTGCTGACACCAGTCCCCTGCACATCACTTTGTCAGCTCCGATTTATCTTAGTAACAAACCATACTCCACCTTTGCAACCCAGCAGCAGTGTTGGCCATCACCCATTCCAAGAGATGCTGGGAGGTCAATTGAACCCGCTCCTCCTGACACAGAGAGGTTCAGCCGTCAAAGGCGTCGAGTCGAGTGACTTGTCGTGTCGCAACACGTTGCAGCTACCAGGCCTTCAAGGCCTTCAAGCGACCTTTTCCCTTCTGGCGGCCTTTTCCCTCAGTCTGGTCGCGCTGGACCATCTCGCGGACTTTCTTGCTCACCTTCGTGGGCTTTGCACATCCCCTGCTGGGTTGGCCGCAAGCATACATCCAGATGGTGCAGGAGGCCGCCTCTTCTGAAGCTAGGAACTCCAGGGTCTGCCCTTTGCCGAGCATTCGCATCCTCCCGATGGCTTGCATCAGCTTGTCCTTGCCACACCTCAGCCCAACGGTGACCTCAGAGAGACGCAGGACGGCCCAACACCCCCCAAGTGGCAACATTGATATAAGGATCTACAGTAAGGCTTGGCGAAGCCCGGCTACCATGGCTTTGGCATTCTTCGCAAGCTTCAAATCGGCTCCCCGCGATCTCGCTTCATCAAAGAAAGCGAAACACTCCTGGAGCCGCGAAGGGATCAAGACGGAGAAACCGGACAGAATCAAAATCGAAGAAAAGTCTTGGACAGGTAGATGATGTGCCAATTTTAACAGGTCTCGTGCTCTCGGACTGGAGACCGGTTCTTTGGAAGGCAGCGTCCGTGACGATCCGAAATGATCCAGTCCTTACTGCTTGACAGCATCTCAGATGATGACATATTTCTATGTCCTGAAGACAGCTTGGCTGCTTTCTTTGATGCGTCGAAGTACACGACCCCCTGCAACGTGCTACCTGCGACGAACAGGTCCGTCAATGCAACTACAAGTAGACCAAAGTCCAGTCATTCCTATTAATGGCCCTTGACTTGAAAACGCCTCTGTTGGCCAGCAAGCGTAAGATCTCCACCGCGATGTCCGCATTGAGGGCACCGGCCGTGAGGGCACCGCAGTCAATGAGGGCGTGCACGCCTCTAGGGTCACGCGATGTATCGACCAAGACGAGGTGCGATGCATGTCTGTCTAGATGATCTGCGGTACGTGAAAGTTGCAGAGGAGCACTGCTCTGGTCCGGTGTAGCTTATCGACTGACTAACTTTTCTACCGTGCCTCGTTCCACAGCGAAGCGGGCCGCTCGCAGCCATGAAGGGTTGCCTTCCTGGTCCTGCCCGGGAGGAAGGCTCAGGAAGTCTGGGTTGTCCATGATCATGTTGATCATCTTCCCGTTGGTGCCGGCCAGGTGGGCTAGGTTCCTGGGTTGAGTCGCAATTGTGTTTTGTTTATGAAAAATGGAACAGCCGGTTGGATGAAATCCCGCGGCTAGCTACAAACCTGGAGTTCTAAGGGCCGCTCTGCTGGGTGACCTGCAGTGGTAGGACGCGGTGGTTGTCATCCGTCCCAGAAAAACCGCTGACAAGACCATCCTGATTGTCAGCCAAATTCCAAGCGTTGGCAACAAGCTTGTTCGGATACTGCGACGTCTCTTTCGGAAACACACACTGGCATACCCAGAACGCAATGGTCTCAAAGTTCATGTGAAAGAGATCGTACAGTAGGTCAAGCTGTGGCTCACTGGACAAGTCGATCATTGTGGCAACACGGACAGTCCTGGTCTCTTCAACTGGCTTCATGCCTTGGCTCAGTGAAAACCACGCGTCGTAGCGGCCCTTCTGCACGGACTCGTCATACGACAGGAGGGCTTCGAAAGCTTGCTTCAGCTGCGCACGACTGAGGCCATCGTAAAAGTAGGAAAGGAGTGTTAGCATGATGGCACAGTCTGGATGACCGAATTCGCTCCTTTCGGACGGAGTGTTGCTAGCCTTGTAAGGTACGGCCAGTCGCTTTGCGTGCTTCTGCCCAACGCCGTACTCCACGGAGTGTCGCTTCTGCATGCAGTGCTCCAGCACCGCACACGCAAGAAAGCCTCGAAGTGCCAGCATGGTGTGGAATCGGTCCTCCGGCAAGCCTGAAGGCAGGCAAGAAGCATCCGCATCCGGCATAGTCAGAAACCGGACCACCGGGCCCTGTGTTCGGTAGTTTGCCAGCCATGCCAGCTCGTAGGGTGGAGACCCCATCAGGTCTTCAAGAAGGGCGAGCCGGATGGATGGCATCACCCGGTCAAGGTCTCTACCAGGAATGAATCGCAAGCGATCAAAAGCCTGCTCTCCATCAGGCTCTCGCAAAGCTTTCCCCGACAAGAGCTGGGCTACACGCTCTGACTGCTGCAGCACTCTGAGCAAAGCCGTTGCCGTCTCCCACCGCTCGGGCCCCTGTGGCAATCGGATTGGGCTACCCACTGCATAGATAAGCTGGTACTTGTGCCGCAAGACCTCGTCGCTCTCGTCTAGCAAGTCTCGAACTGGAATGCTTGAAAGCCGTGCGAGGAGCTGACACATCTCATGCTTGCCTGGCCGGGCAGGTCGTTTGTGTTTTAAGGGGTTCGGAGAAAAGCCCAGAGGATCCGACACTGAATGCTAGAGAGCAAGCAGAGATGCCGACACACGATTTTCAGTCTCACAAACACCAGAATTCAATCTCCGCGCCTTCAAGGCGTAGCTCGTGCCACTTGAGTTGCAACGACAATCGATGCTCGGGCGCAACAAGTACAACACCACCACTCTGCCGGCAGAAGTCGAGACAGGAAATCATTTGCTTGATGTCGTCGGGTCTGAGCTGTACATCGCGATGAAAGGGCATGACGAAGACTCTTCGCAGCAATACTGAAGCACACAAGTGCCTGTGCATGAAATCGTACAGCTCATGCAGCAACGATGTCAAGGCTGTGATTCGGAGCAATCTCGGCTCACCCGCATCGGCTCGTCCGGCCCAGTGTAAAATGAGCATAGGGAGGATGACTCGAGTCTTGCCTTCGCCCATGTTCAGCTGAACCACGGAGCCAGGGTCATCCATAAGCTTCTTGGCTACCTGATACTGCACCGGACGAATTTGCAGGCCCCCCTCGACCTCAAAGACCAGCCATTCCGGATGCTCTTGGACATCCCAGCAGCGCGACACCAGTAGCTCCTGCAGCATCAGTGGATAAACCTGGCCCTTGGCCTCAGATCAAAAAAACAAGGCGATGTCAAACACACACAGAAGAGTTGAAACAGTCTGCACAATCTGAAGGCTGGCAAGCCAAGCCACATGTGCCACATCTTAAGCAGCAGTAGCACATGCTTGTGCAGCTTGTTCTCGGATGCTTGCGACCTAGGGACAGGAAACATGCACCGAAGTCTCTTTGAAAGAAACGACTCACTTCCATGATCTGGGATTTTCCACTCACTGTAAGACATGTCAGATCAAGCTGCAAGAAAGGGTTGAAGTCTCTGAGAACCGCTGGTTGCCATGCTGCCCGTAAAAAGTCTCTGGCAATGACCTGGCGAGAACCCTCACACACCTCGTGATAGGTGATATCGCAGTTGGGCAGACTTGCCAAGTAATGGGACGGTTGCTGTCAGAGGGCTCAAGCCTACTCACAGAGCCTTGGGATAATGCGTCGGCCATTTTAAAAAATCATGGAAAGGCAGGTGTAAAAAAAGGTAGCAGCAAGAGCAATCGCCGTCGTCCCCATCACGAGCAGTAGTCGTCAGTCGCTCTGTCGTGGGCATGAGTGTCGGTCTTCTTTACAGTCCTAAGGCATGATGACGTCCATGCTGCCTGTTCGCATGTTTCACGACCGTCATAGCATTCATCATTGGCACAAATACTTCTGTCGTATTAGTAGCACTGATTGTAGAAGTAACAGCTTTAGAGGTAGCAGTGCTAGCAGTAGTAGTAGTCATCGTCGTCATCGTCTCGTCGTCGTCGTCGTCGTAGTAGCAGTTGAAGAGCGTTAGGAACATGCTCTTCTGCCGAGGCTGCCATAAACTGCTGCCGTCTCCTCCGAAGAATAGCTTCAACCTCGTCGAACGGCCCCCGAAGGAATCCCGGAATCCATGAAGCTGCCCCTACCCTTCAGGCTTTCATCCCG